TTTTCTTTAAAATAATCAAAGTATGATTATAGCAATACATTTCTCGTTACTTATGTATAATTTTTATTTATCACTTTCGTTATAATTTTTATCATTTCTCATGATTTTTATATGTAAGCAAAGCTACTCGTAGTTCATATGCACGTATAAGATCACGTGACTTGACGTCACTTACTGTAATATTTTAGCTACATGATCATATAAAATCACGAATCTTATACAACAATTTAAACGATACATTGTGTGTTAATGAGATAATAATAAGTCGCGCATAATTGAAGTACCTTAAGATTTTTTGCGCTTCTATATTCCCAAATAGTTAGGTTTATGCTTAAAAAATAAAATAACATAATGAAAAAATATTGCGTTACCTTATTTTTCTTTGCATCAATACGAGCTTGAATGTTTTCAGTCCTTTTTTGTTGCCGTTCAGCTTGAGTCTTGGTAACCGCTTTAATTCGTTCTTTCCTGAATAAAGTATTAAGATAGATGAATATCGAGTCCTTGGCAAAAAAAAATTAAAAATTATAAAGAAAAATCGTACCATGCCTTTTCACTACTTTTCTTTTTAAAGTTGATCTTTTTAATAGTTTTCTTTAATAATTTGGGGTCATCTTTAATTTTTTCGCCTCGTGCCATTTGTAGAGCTTTAGACCATGCCTCATTTTCACGAAACTTTGCAGCCTAGTCGATCGACTAATAAATATGAATTAAAATTCAAAAACATTATCATTTTCAAATTATTTACCTTCTCTGGATCTTCTTTTTTCAATTTCTCAAACTTTTCTGCTTTACTTTTTAACTAACATAGAATTTAGATTTAATCATCATTTATATAAACCAAGTTAATGAATGAACGGAATCAATACGTTACTTTATTCATCAATTGCATATTATCTAACTTTTTCTTTTTTTTATTTTTATCATCAAATTCAAATTTGGTATACTGAATGCTATTACTATCTCCCGGTAAACCTTGCGTAGAATCATCCTTAACATCTAAAGAATTATTCTCCGGACTAATTTTTGTTTTTTTTTGCTTTTCTACTTTCCTTTCCTTTTTCTGAGAATTTTTGTTTCGATTCTTTCTCTTACGATTAATTTTGATTGAGTTTGGATCTGGTGTGTGTTTTGCAAGACGTAGTCGAGCAAGACGTTCAGAAATCGATAACTGCACCGGGGAATTAGATGCATGATCTACAGATTTAATTTTTTGAAGCGGTGATGAAGCATCTAAATAAAAATTTTGAATATCATATCAGCAAACAAATTTTAGCAATCATATCAGCAAACAAATTTTAGCAATCACTATCTTGACCCGATTTACCTACCTTCGCTGTTAGATTTTGACTCGTCACTTTCCTCGTTTAATGCGTTAACTTTTTCACTGTTAGCCTTTAATTCACCATTTTTCTTAATTGATTTACCATCATCTAACTTTTCATCTAACTTTTTATCTTCCTCTTTAATTTTCTCTTTACTTTTGTTTAGTTTTTCTTGCTGAATATCAGTTACAGTCTTTAAATTATTGGGATCAAACTACAATAATAATGTATATAATTTGAAAGTTGCCGGTAAGAAACGAGTGACTAAGTAATTTGAAGTGCTACAATAATATATAATTAAAAACCTTTGATTTTTTGTTTATTTTCTTTTGCACCTTAAGTGCTTTTTTGGAAAATTTTTTACTTTTATGATGTTGAGATTGCTTGTCTTCATCGTCTGAAATGCTAGGCTAAGTTTTGTCAATTTGATTACACTCTGATTAATAATAAATATAATAACTTACATAATTTTTAAAGTAATGCTTAGGAGGTATTAAACTTATGATAGAATCTATGAAATCGCTGTGAGCTTTTATTCTATCCTGGAAATATAAACATCCAAGGTAAGAATTCAATATAAATTGCACGAACAACGAAGGTCTTATTACCTCAAGTCCATCAAGTTTCCATTGAGTCTCCATTTTTGTAAAATTTTTTTTGACAAAAGATCAGACCGATATATATATATATCGTTAAAAATGATTATCGTTATCTTTAGCGTTAGGGCTAACTTGCCACCCTTTAACATAATAACGCATTAAGTAAAAATGGTTAGCACTATAAAAACCTTATTTTAGCCTATTTCTAACCCTAATCCCTAATTCTAAATTTTTACTCCTTTTTAATATTACTAACTATAGAGATGTGTGATCAAAGAGAGACTTAGTAAAAAAAGATTACATACGTAGTACTCTGTGAAAATTGTTGGCCATTCCTACTACTATTAAAATTCTATAAGTAATGCCTGCCGATTTTTACTATTATGCTTATATGGTGCTTAAGGTGTGAAATGGGCCGGGTCAGGCCAGGCTTTACTGAGCTCAAAACAAACCTAAAAAATATTTTTGAGCCCAAGCCCAGCCTGAAAAAAAATAAAAGCCTGATGTTGTTTTCTGGGCCAGGCCTATTACAGCAGTTTTCATTATTTCTGGGACATCTATAAAAAATTAGCCAAAAAATTTTTCGGCTGGTTATTTTTTTAGCATAATAAATTCAATAAAAATTGATATAATATGGTAATACGTATACTGTATATATAATTTAAAATTAGGTGACTAATACGTAGAACCAATTTTATTTGTTTGCATGGCTACTACGTATCGTTATATAATTATTGTTTTAATACGTAAAATTAGGCTATGAACGTATCAATTATAATTGTAATTGATCAAGGTGATCAATAGCTAGGGTTGTTAATGGGTTGGGTTGGGTTGGTTTGGGTTGACCCAGTCTTCAACCCACTCCACTAAATTAGATCTACTCCAATGTTTTGCTCCGGGTTGCTCCAGGTTGCTCCAAATTTAAAGGCATAATTTTAAACCCACTCCAATTTGGGTTGGGTTCTACTC